ATACGAGTATAAGAGTATACGAGTATAAGAGTATACGAGTATAAGAGTATACGAGTATAAGAGTATACGAGTAGAGTTTAGGAGTATAACACTGAGGAAATAATAGCATAACAATATAAGAGGTTAAGATCAGATTAAACTAAAGGCGTACGAATAAAAGTGTGAAAAAGTTGAAACCATCTAGATTGTATAAAATAACGAACATCACATGGATTACAGTTCATCATTAACTCTTCTAGTACCATGGAATTCAAATTCAAATCGATTTTGTAACACAGCTGTGTCTTAAGTATCTTCAAGTCGGGAACACCCGGAAAGGCCACTCACACTTATTTGATATGTTTTACTGTCTAGGGTATTCGAGCGACGGCATGCCAAAGCTCTATCTTTCATTTTACTTTCCTCCTTTTTTCGGTTAAGCATAAAATTGTTGTGCAAAATTTATAAGTAAATTGCTTTTAATCTCTCGCGAAGTGTTAGCAAAATACTTTCGCAGGCTTGTTTGGGGTTTTTAGTTGCTCGCATGCCAGTGGCTGCGAGTGCGCGGTCTCCCTGCACACCTTGGCCAGGTGAGCGGGCGTTGAAAAAGTGGGCAATGCTGTGCAGTTTTGTCGGGCTTTTTTGAAGCTTGTTTGTGTTGGATGACGTTGAACTGTTTTATGTGAGCTCAATTTTCAGCTTCAGTTACACAAAGCTAAGCATTTGAGTGAGGCAAAAAGTGTCCTGACTAAGAATATTCATAAACACCCTTGCGGGTAACATCATCCATATCATTCATTGCCGAGAGATTATAAACCCTGATTTAATACAAGACCACTTTCCTTATCGATCTTACTGACTAACTAACTAATTCTATAAACCCAATTCAATCTGCTCACATAAATAATCTTAAAACTATTCTTTTTCTTTAAGATATGATTATATATGAAAGGGAACAATGAGAGGCAAACTTACAAGCTCTATGCAGCATTGTGGGTAGCTCTGTTCCAGGGATCCATACCTAGGAATTACATTTTGCATATTAATAATTGTCTAACAACAAATTTGAGAAAATGATACAGACTGTGGATTTTAGAAGTTACGAAAGTTATATTACACACAGGGATGATTTAGGCCTAAAATAACTTATAACTAGCGGACAAACACGTTTCGCTATAGCTATAGCTTATATACATATATATATTATACAAAGGATATTACTTTTTGCGCTTCTTCGCCGCACTGGGCTCCAGCTTGGGCTGAAATTGTGGCAGATCCGCACAGAAGAGAACCTAAAGAAAAGAAATTATATACCATTATCATATATATATATATAGGCCATGCTCGTTAGCTATATGAAATATAGAGTATCCTAGTTCAGAGCTAGTCTCGAAGCTCAGCTATTATTGGATTGTGAACGAGCATATAACAAGTCGGTTATGACCGACTGCAACTTGTTTATCCATATCCATGCCTACCGCTTGCGCCCAGCCCGCGTACTGTCCATGAAGCTGCTGAAAGTGTTGAGCGATCTCGTCATAGATTTTGCTAGTGACGCTCTTCTGGCTGGCCAAGTGGGGTAAATAATGCCGCTGGGCCAGCTTAAAGATGTGCGTATCAATGGGCACCGCTTGCAGATGATTCAGCGACATGAGGCATATGCAATCGGCTACCTTGTAGCCAATGCCCGGCAGCTGTACCAAAGCTTCTCGTGCCTCTGCATAGGGCATACGCCTCAATTGCTCAAACCAATCCAATCCACCAAGCTTTTCGATCTCCGTCAGCGAACGGGCTATAAATTTAGCTCGATAGCCAAATTTAGCCGCGCGCAACTCTGCGTCTAGCTGGCTGCAGGTGCGTCCGCCTTGAAGGTCTTTCAGCGTGGGAAAGCTGAACTCATCCTGGCCATTAAAGTGCCCAATTTTATTGCCATAAGTTGAGCAAAGCCACTGAACCATCGATGAAATACTAAAAAGAAAACATTTCAATATTAGAGACGAAAGCTGAGATTGCTCTAGATCATGCAAAATATTCACAGCAAAAACTATAGCTCATTATTAATAGACGGGCTTACCGCTTTATATTATTATTTTGGCTGCACATGAAGCAGATAATGTTCTCCAGCGGCTCTTGTGCCAACATTCGCACTGGTTGGCCAACAAATTTCTTGAAATTCTCATCTGCCTGCATCCAATTTTTTTGCTGCAACTCCAAGTCAAAATCAGCGCGCAGATAATCGCTCAGCAAGGCAGTGAAATTATTATTTATTGGAGTATTGTCTGCAACGTGAGCGTCATAGGCAATGTGGTCCTTTTCGGGCGTCAGCTCCCAATAGGTATTCAAAGCAACGCCGCAATATTTAACTTTTGGCTCTGAGCATAATTTGCGCCAGCTAAAATTTTATTTTTATAAATAATTGCATATTCAACTGGTTTCTATACGCACCGAAAGCTTTGACCACCTAGCAGAGTGCGCTCCAGATCACATACCTTAGCTTTTAGACATATTATGCCGCTACTTTTTATAGCTTTTGTCATTTTCGCATTTAAATTACAAATTGAAATGCAAAAGGTGCAAGAACAGCTGTTTTAAATGCCGCTAAAAATCGAAGCAGGTATGCCTCGATAACATGCATCGGCATTTGTGGTAGGCGAGAATGCACATATCGATACTTCACTCAAAACTTTGGACCCAAACAGCTGATGCCGCCAACCACCGCCTAGTGATAACACGCGAAATGTATTGTATTGCGAGTGCATATATCGATACTTGATTTCAACTATAACTTAATTTCTCCTTCCCATAATGTTGACCTTTCATTATCTGTCAAGCATACTTCAGTCGTAACAAACATATCAGACATATTATATATTTACATATATATTATTCTGACATGCTCATAATAAACAAAAAGTGTTTTCCATTTAAATAGTCTTCTCTTTCTTGCTCACGGATTGTCTGCTGCCTGCTAGCGAGTTGGGTGTTGGGTTCACGCTTCCATCTCTAGTTTCAATGCTTACACGGGCTACATATAAATTGAAGTTATTTAGTATTTACAAATATTAAGAAACAGAAAGTAAGTAGAGTGGCAGCAGCAGCAGAAGCAGTAACAGTGTTAGCAGGGAACTTAGCGAGACATTAAACAATTACTAAGAGGAAAACACACACACACATACACTCAATATTATGTCAGGCAGCATCAACAATTATACAAACCAAATGTGAGTAAGAATTTCGCAAATGTGAATCTCGCGAAGCCATAACACTAACATGATTGATAATCAGGCATGTGGCAGCAAATCGGGCTTACGGCGAACAAATCCATCCACAAGCAGAGTCATACCAGCAGATGATGGACAGGATGCCGCAGCTCATAGGCGATCCCGGCATCCAGCTGGTTACCAGGTAACCCACCCACGCGCCATTGCTTTGAATGCTATATAAACACACTTCTACATCAATATCATTTTAGCTTGGAGGATCGCGACAAGGCCATTGTCGACAATATAAATGCGGATCAGCATGCCGTCTCGCATCTAAAGTACTTGAACTCTGATCGAGATCTTTCGATAGACAAACAGTCCAAGGCGCTGGACAAATACTTAGACAGCCAGGACGAGGGTGAGCTACAGCGCTAGCATGCATGTATACATTATATATAATTCAGATTCTTGCTTCCCTTAGAGGCGTCGCTGCGCAAATATTTAGTCTTTGGCGTCCAGTGGGTCTCACTTGTCACTGAGAATCTATTGAGCCATCCATTTATTGTTCTGCGCCGTCAGTGTCAAGTTTATAATGCATCGAAGCGCTATCACTTGCATCCGCTACAACTGATGCCGAGCATTATGCATTTGCATCGGCGCCAAGGCGTCACCACCCTGTGGAAGGGCCTGGGCAGTTGTTTGCTGGTGCGCGGCATGACTCTGGCCATAGACGATGTAATTAGCAAGTTCACCAGCTGGCCAAAGGATGTGGATAGCCGGACGACACTCAAGCGTTTCGGACAGCACCTACTGCTGAAGAGGCAAGTGTCCTTGAAGCAGCGCATCGTGGACTGAACTCATCCTAATTCTGTTTCTGTCTACAGCATTAGCATTGGCCTGGTTGTGCCCTTCTATGCCGCCTCCTTGGTGGAGACTGTCCAAAGTGATATCGCCAGCGAGAAGCCCGGCCTGTTCGATGTGTTTCGCGAGGGCAGCTTGCGTCTCTTCTACTGGAGCTCGCCGCAAAAGGGACGCATGCTGCCCGCCTGGGCCTTGATTGGACCCAGCGTTACGATGGGCATTACCAAATACCTATTTAGCCTGGTTATACGCGGCGTCTCGTCGCGCATTATGCGGCGACGCCTGACGATGAAGCAGGAGCAGCGCGGTGCCAAGTATCGCGACGATACGCTGGAGCATCAGAATGCCGAGATCTATGCCAACCTGATATCGATGCTAACCACCGAGATGCTGTTCTTTCCCTTCGAAACGATCCTGCACCGCTTGCAGCTGCAGGGCACACGCACCATCATCGATAATCTGGATAATGGCTATGCTGTGGTGCCCATTCTGACGAACTACCAAGGCGCTATCGATTGCTACCGCACCACGATTCAAACCGAGGGTGTGGCTGGACTCTACAAGGGCTTCGGTGCTGTCGTTCTCCAGTTCGCCGCGCACGTGGCCGTCATCAAGCTGACCAAGTGGGTCGTCGGCAAGATCACGGAATGCATATCGAGTCGTCCGCCCGCTCGCATTGTACAGTACTACAATTTGGATCGGGCGTCCGCAGTGCTGGTCGGCGGTAACAATTCAAATAATTCAACGACCATATCGCCAAGCATCTCGAGCACCGAACTGGATGTTCATAGCGTAGGGCAGAACTCGCTCGATTGATTAGCTTTAGCTTTTGGTTTCGTGTTCTACAGACACACACACACATATATATATATATATATATATATATGTATATTCAAAATTTCGTGTGGAAGCTCTCTCGGCTCTTTATATCTTTATCTAAGTCTGTAAGGTGTTTTCCATAAGGGAGTTAGATATATCTTCGTATATTTTTTTTTCTTTGAATTCTATTTCGTTTTGCTGTGATAACTTCCACGAGTCTTGTTTCCTTTATATGTATATATATATATACATATATAGATATGCATCATATATATGTGTATTTGTAAATGAAGGGCAATTATATTAGGAAATCCATATTATATTTTCGTTTTTTTTTTAATGTTTCAATCGAACAGCTTAAAGTTTTAGCCAAGCATGTTATTTATTGAGAACTGATCAATTGTTTCACGTAAGCTAGTCTGAAATTATGTAATTAGATCATTAAAAGAAAAATATTTAAACCGAAAAAAAAAATTAACAGAAATTGAAAAAATTTTTAATAAATTTAACAAATCTTTGAAGTGTTCAGACACAATAAAAATAAAATGAAAAATGTGTTGAGTTTATAATTAGGTAAAAATATAAATATGTATAAAAAACATTAAAAACTAAAAATTAAAAACAAAAAATACAAAAAATTACAATTTATTTATATCTATAATAATCTAAATGCAATAGAATCCGGTACTAGCGGATGCTCAAGGGTTCGTCGTTATATATGGAGTTTGTACTGGGAGCAGAATTTTCGGATTATAAACAGTCATTTTTTATTGTTTAGCAGTGGTTATTACGCCCGGAACCCATTTAAAAATGGGAAATCAGGCTGGGATGTTTTTTAGAAAGCTTATATAACATACACCCCATAAAGTATATACAATGGAGCCCGGTTATAACGATAAAACTATTTTCCATATTCACAAACATAATATAACAGAATAATTTTTTAAGAGATTCTTCTCTTTATTCTCAATTAACTAAATACTCCGAGATTTTCGATTGTTTGGCCGTAGTTTTTGATATATAAAAATAGTTGCGTACAACATTATTTAAATGAGACATGCTGTGCCTTAAGCTCTCGTCACTGCAATTTGAATGAACAAATCTACTCAGAACCTCTGCAGCTTGAAATGCCTCCAAGGCGCTGGGTGCTGTCACATCCTCATTTTGATCTTCGACGCTGTCGTCGCTATCCTGATCTTCGTCAAATATATCTTTGACAATACTGTCTTCAGAGGGCTCCCCACAAATCGCCAGCCCATTGTCAATAAGGACATATTCATCCAGTACTTCCTTTGAAATCGGCAGCTGGACTCTTAGGGCTGTAGCCCAATCCGATAGGGGAATGTCATCATCGATTTCAATATCATTCGAAAATGAGCTGTGTGGAGCATCTAGATTAGTCTCGGCAAGTCCAGACTGCCTGAAGCAATTCGCAATTGTCTCGGGCGAGAGTTGTTGCCATGCATCATTTATCATTAAAAGGGCGTCTAGAATTGTAACTTTCGGGTAATTTTCATCAATGCTGTTTTCCATATCGCTAATTATTTTGAGTATAAGATTTTTGCGATATGTTGATTTAATCACACGAATTATGCCTTGGCTCATCGGTTGTAATATTAATTTCGCATTTGTATTTGATGGCAGGCAGACTAGAGTGATATTAGTTAGATTGCTTATGATGGGATGGGCTGGACAATCATCAATTAATAGCAATATCTTCTTTTTCTGTTGCATAAGCTCAGCATTCCAATCGCGCACCCAAGTGGTGAAAATTTCAGACGTCATCCATGCCTGGCGATTACTAAAGTAGTCAACAGGCAAAAAGTGAACATTTCCAAGGGACCTAGGATGCTTTGATGTTCCAATAACCAATAATTTCTTTTTTAGAGTGCCACTCATATTGGCCGCAAGAAGCAAAGTTATCCTTTCCTTGGATAGCTCCCCGCCCGTGCATTGTTCACCTATAAATTGAAATTTCAATAAACCGATCTCTTCAAAATGATCTCGCTCCTACCTTTCATATTTAACGTTTTGTCAGGAGTTAGTTTGTAGAACAGTCCAATTTCGTCGGCACTAAAAATGTCATCATCACTGAAATCCTTACGTAGTGTAGGCCAAATCTGCGTTAGCCACTTTTTTGGATCGCATTTTTTGCTGGGCATAGATTCTCCGCTGGCTGTACTGGAGAGGATGTTATGCCGCACCTTGAAGCGGCTTATCCAACTACCAGAACAGTTAAAATCTTTAATCTTAAATTGTTTAGCGAAATAATTCGCTTTTTGCTGAAGCAGTGGACCGCTTAATGAGATCCCTTGACTGCGTTGCATCTTAAACCACTGGAACAAGGCCTTATCGACTCGATCTTGTGTCGACGCTCTGACACGTTTTGATTTTAAGACATTGTTATTAAACAAAGCTGTAACTTGTTCCTTATGCTTTTTTATTGTGGCAATTGTTGTGTGGCACACGCCGAACTCTTTTGCCAGGACTACGTTGCGTTCACCGGCCTCCAGGCGGCGAATTATTTGCATTTTTTCCTCAACGGTAAAACACTTTCGTTTTAAAGCCATTTTTCATCTTTCTAATTCCCAAGTGTCGTGTAGAGCTGGGAAACTTCAGCGCCACCAACGATAGTTGTTTACCCCTATCGACAGTCGTTGGCCATAGGAAAATCACACGTATCGATAATCGTACGCGATAGGAAAGGCACATTTATAAGTGCATATATGCTCATATTTGTTTACATTTCCTATTTTGTACATTTTATACTGTAATTTCTGAGAAAAAGCTACATCAATTTCAAACAAATATAGTAAACGATAAGAAAAAAAACAATACTATCGATTGTATCAAAATATTGAATGGCGCCCTCGATAGTTTTGCTGCTCTAGTATCGAATTTGAACTGAATGATCTCATTAACGAGCAATATCTTTCATTTGATTATGATGTGCGTATTTAATTTGACTTGGAAAAAAAAAACAGAAAAGATATATAAGCATTTGTGTAACGACGGCTTTGCAGTTTGTCTCCCTCCCTCTCTATGGGGAACCGCCCACGACATCGAATCATCATCGCGATAGCCGGACAGACCATATGAGCGGAGTCGTTATAACCTGACTCCACTGTTTATAAAAATAATAAAAAAATTTAATTTTTAATTTTACAAAACCAATATACTCTTCAGTATCGCATGAACGGGACTATAAGGAACTGAGTTGATCTATAGGAGGAAGCTATAAATGTTAATAGATCTCTAATAGACATGAGCCTCCGCGAATATCATATTCCCATTTCCATTCCGAAAACAAGTTTCGAGCACTAATATTATAAACTAGCTTTATACCTAGAATCAATTATAGACAGCAAACTCGATTTGTTTAGTTTACATAACTTTATCTAGGATACTTTGCACAGAGCTCTATACAATGTAAGGCATAACAGAAAGAAAAATGGGAACTGAATATTAAAGCTAACTGCGATTTACTCCGGCTTATAGGTGATGGACTCGTCTTTGAAATTGTGCACTTGCTCATACCAAATGTCGTCGGGCGCATCATCCTCCGGCTGTTCATAGAGCGTGGGCATTGGCGGCGCGACTTGGGGCTTACGCAATGGCAGGATCGTATCGTAGATGTAGACCAGGCCGTTTGTGGAGCCAGGCACTGCGCTGCCCTGCACCCACATCACATTGTATTTGGTATTGATGCGCCAGATGCGCAGACCTTTGGTGATACGCCAGCGATTGCCCATGTGACCCGGTAGTTTGGTGCCCGGCCAGACGCGTCCCTTTTCGCCACCGCCGCCAATGTTGCCGGGACGGCGATGCGTCTTTGTCACACCATGCGAGGCGGGCATGCCCTTGAATCCATGTCGCTTGACCACGCCCTGGAATCCATGATACACGCTGCAAAAAATGCGGGTTAGAACTAGCTACATGACTCTCCTCTCCACTCGTCACTCACGTCTTGCCGCGCACATCGACAAACTCGCCCACGCGGAAGTGTCCCACGTTCAGTGGTGTACCAGGCGCTAGGGCCGCCTGTGGCGAAACTATGAAACGGGCTAGATTCTTGGTGGGCATCACGCCTGAATCGCGAAAGATTCCACAATACTCTTTGGTCAGCTGGGCTGGATTTGTGCTCTCCGCTCCAACCAAGATGCAGCCATAGCGATTCAAGTTATGTACATTGGGCCTCTGTGTGGGCTTATATTCCTCTGGGGGCGTATATTTAATCACATGGTTGTCCACCACCTGCAGGAGGGTCGTACGAATGCGTTCTCCATTCTTCAGCCAAAGCGGATATTGGCCAATCTTGCGAGCAATCAAGCCACAACGACGAACAGCCGGTGTCCAAGGCTCGGTAGATACGGGCACTTCATTCGTTTTGATCAACTGCTTCTGTTCGTAGGTTTGTACGCCTTTAATTAAAGCCGGAGTGCCGTAGGTATCATGGATCACTTCCTTGATGAAACTGCGATTTTCGCCAGTTACTTGATCATCCGTTTGCTGTAAGGAGTTGACATTGGTTGACCAGTTGTCGACTAAACTAGATTAAATAGCTTACTGAGCGCTGTTTTCGCATAAACCAATAGGGATTCCGTAAACGCGGCCGGTTCAGGTGTCCCTTCTCGCGGACTTGTGTAACAGAGCAGACGAATCCGTTCAGCCTGTTTTTATCAGAGAAAACTAATATATATAAGACATCTAGGAATATATTATGTTTTATATATACCGCAGGCGTGCCAAATCGCTTAGAACAGTGCGCAGCATGTTAATTATATAATTTTTTAATACAAAAATTCAACTTAAATACATAAATAACAATTATGCGGCACACGGTTCGAGCTTAGTGATGAGAGGCCAAACAGCACAAGACATCGATAGGTATGAGCTATAAATGAACAGAGTGCTGCCAGAAGTAGGAGCCAGCTCAATCTATCAAGAGTTTTTTTATGCTCCATTTTCAATTATGAACATCATTTAATTATTACACTTGACTTGGTGTAATCTTGCATATTTAATTGGTTCAATATTTTGTTGTTTCCAAACACAAATACAAATTGAGCAACTAACGATGTTTACACGCCAGCTATATCGATAGTTTGTTTGTTATATGGCCGCGTAGCGATCATCTGGCAACGCTGGCACCCTTCCAAAAACTTTAAACACGTGCAACGCGCTACTCACGGCGTGTTCTGTTTCTTTTTCCATTTTCGGTTGAGTTTTCGTTGACAACAGCAACAAAATGGGCAAGAAAACAAAAGTAGGAAAGACGCGCAAAGATAAGTTCTACCAGTTGGCCAAAGAGACTGGCTTCCGTTCGCGTGCCGCCTTCAAGCTCATCCAATTGAATCGCAAATTTGGTTTCCTGCAACAGTCGCAGGTATGCATCGATCTGTGCGCCGCACCTGGCGGCTGGATGCAGGTGGCCAAACAGAATATGCCCGTCTCCAGCATTGTCATCGGCGTCGATCTATTCCCAATACGTCCAATTGCCGGCTGCATTGGCCTCGTCGAGGACATTACCACAGACAAATGCCGCCAGTCCCTGACAAAGGAGCTGCAGTCGTGGAAAGCTGATGTGGTGCTGCACGATGGTGCGCCAAATGTTGGACGCAATTGGCTCTACGATGCCTACCAGCAGATCTGCCTCACATTGAATGCCCTAAAGCTGGGCACGCAGTTCCTCCGTAGCGGCGGTTGGTTTGTAACGAAGGTATTCCGCTCCAAGGATTACAATGCACTGCTCTGGGTACTCAAGCAGCTCTTCAAGAAGGTGCACGCCACCAAGCCCAGTGCCTCGCGTAAGGAGTCCGCCGAAATCTTCGTCGTCTGCCAGGGCTACTTGGCGCCGGATCGCATCGATCCCCGTTTGTTGGATGCGAAATATGTGTTCGAGGAGCTGGATCTGGAAGGCAAACAGAAGAATAGTCTGCTGCATCCAGAGAAACAGAAGCGCGTCAAGGCCGAGGGCTACACGGAGCAGGATATTGCCCTGCGCAACGATCTGGCTGCCTCGGAGTTCATGAAGGCGGAGAATGCGTTGGCTGCCCTTCAGGGCATCGGCTCCATTCGCATCGATGATGAGCGCATCGCCAAGCACAAGAGGACGACGAGCGAGATCTTGGAGTGCTGCAAGGATCTGAAGGTGCTCGGTCGCAAAGACATCAAAGGCCTGCTGCTCTGGTGGAAACACATCAAGGAGGATCTGTACAAAACGGAACCAGAAAGCGTCATCGAGGAGCCAGAGACAGAGAAGCAGCCGGCTCCCTTGACCCAGGAGCAGGTTGAAGATATGGAGGATGCCGAGCTGCAGCAACAAATTGAAACCCTCGCCGAGGAGGAGCAAAAGGAGCTGAAGCGCAAGCGCAAAAAGACGCTCAAGTCGAAGGCGAAACTCCACGAAAAGATGAACCTCAACATGGTCATCAAGGGCGATGACGGTCCAGTCGAAGAGGGCGAGCAGGAGATCTTCGATCTAAAGGGCATCAATAGCGTTAGCGAGCTGAACAACATGCTCGACGTTCAGCCCGACTTCGATGTGGAGGGCGAGCCCGTCGAGCATCCCAAATTGCCCAAGTACAAGAAATACGATAAGGATGACAAGCGCATGGACGACGATGCCAACTACGAGAACGATGACGAGCCGGAGGTGAGCCAAGATGAGGACAGCGACAGCGACTACGATCAACAGGGACTCGGCCTGAGCGACAACGAAGATGAGGATCAAGAGTCGTCCACTAAAAAAGGCAAGAAGAAGAAACAGCGCGCCGAGCATCCATTAATCAAGTCGGGAGATTTCCGGGACAAGGACACCCGGCGACAACAGCGTGTCGCTCTCTGGTATGAAAAGGACACTCTGCAAAATATCGGCAACGAGGACGACGACGATGAGGAGAACTTTGACTTGGATAACCTGGCCAAGGCGTACAAGGCCAAAGGAGTCGCAGTGCTCGGCGAGAATCGTCCGTCCGCGGATGGAGATGGCACCCCAGCCCTTGGCAAAAAGGCCAAACGACGTGCCAGGCACGATGTGCAGAAGGAGGACAGCAGCTCAGAGTCATCTGACTCGGATTCCGAGCAGGAAGTGGATGAGGATAATGTGGCGGGAGACATGGCTAAAGGTGAGATGAGAGACTTGGACTAGAAACTAAAAAGGAAAATGGAGAGAACATTTGGATAAAGAAAAGATGGAACACTCAGAGCGGATAGAAATTCAATAGGTAGAAAGAGAGGGAGATATATAGAGATAGATAGAAAAGTGGGACGACAGTAAAAGGTTGAGATGAAAATGCAAAGGATTTCTGTCTGTGAACTAAGTTTGTGAAAGGTCTTAAAATAGAAAAGAAAGAGATAGAGATACAATGCTAAAGAAGGGAAAGAGACAGTTGTATCAATAACAGCTTTACCAATGGTGAAAGATTGAAATGAGGGATATCTCTTACGGAGAGGGATTAATCAAACATAAAAAAGAGTAATAGAGAGATAAAGATATATCATAGAGACATTATATATCGTAAAGAGAAAGATAGAGAGATGAACCTTTATATTCATTTTTGATGATATACGATATCTAACTTTACCATTCTTTGATTCCCGTTTCTAGCACCAAAGGCAAAGAAGATTCGCCTGTCCGAGGAGGAGCTGGCTCTGGGAGCGCTGCTCGTGCGTGGCAAGAAGACGCGACGCGAATTGGTGGATGCTGCTTGGAATCGCTATGCGTTCAATGATGAGAACTTGCCCGTTTGGTTCGTGCAGGATGAGGCCGAGCATATGACGAAGCCGCACCCGGTGCCCAAGGAGCTGACGGAGGAGTACCAGCGGAAGGTGCAGGAGCTGAATGTGCGACCCATCAAGAAGGTGATGGAGGCGAAGGCGCGCAAGAAGCGACGCGCCACCAAGCGCCTGGCGAAGGCCAAGAAGATGGCCGAAAAGATCATGGAGAATGCGGACGCCACCTCCCAGGAGAAGGCCAAGCAGCTGAAGAAGGTCTACAAGAAGGCGCAGGAGAAGAAGAAGGAGATCACCTATGTGGTGGCCAAGAAGCACACAGCCTCGCGTCGTGCACGACGTCCGCCTGGCGTCAAGGGACGCTATCGTGTCGTCGATCCGCGTGAAAAGAAGGATAAGCGCTCCATTGTGGCCAAGAAGCGACGCGAGAAGGGCAGCAAAGGTGGTAAAGGCAAGGGCAAGGGCAAACGCTAGTTAGTGGAAACGTAGCTCATAGTCGGCTTTATGTAAATGCTAATGTATAGAATAAATAGAAACTAGTGGAATAATATGTGAAATATAATATTCTGGATTCATGTTTTATCATAATAACTAACCAACGCAAATATATCAAAAATATCGCAAAAATATTCGATATTTATTCATCTCAAAAAATATTCCGACAGAAATATATTTTTGCATGAAAATATCGATATATTGATATTTTGATATATTTGCAACAGCCTCGTTCTCTACCCAATTTACTCGTATGTCATAGCATCATAACATTAGTTGCCTAACATATGCATAACAGCTGCTAGCATTCATGCTTAGCAGTCGTCTTTTACATCAACTCATATATACATACAATACATACTTACATTTGCATTCATATATAATTAATTGATCAACATATATACAAAATATAGCAGATACATAATGTTAGGTTAACAGTGCTGTTAAGTGCGGCTCAGAGCGCACTGTTAGGCTGATATTCGTACAACTTCTCGCCATTCTCCTCGCCATTGAGCCTCAGCTTGTGCTCCTTGAGCAGCTTGCTCAGGTGATGGCTGACATTGTAGGCAGCAGCTGGCCAGAGTTGCTCGGGAGTTTCCTTATAGACGACCTTGACCACATCCAGAGCCTGCCACGCCTTGCCCGGCCGTTGGCTGAAGAAGTGCAGAATCTGCTCCTCACGCTGGTTGCGATGATTGATGTAAAATTGAATCTTCTCAACGGGATCTGGTATGATATTGCCGTGAGCGGGATATATGACGGATGGTGCGATATTCAGTATCTTCTGCAGGCTGCGCATATAGTCGAAGAGGTCCTCGAAGACGGCGGTACCCTCGCCTGCGAAGCATACAACACATTTCAGTGGAGACCATGGGGGCTTCTGATCCCTCACTCACCCAGTATGCAGTCGCCGCTGAAGAGTGTGCCGTCGTCCATGGTCAGCACAACGTGATCCGTTGTATGGCCAGGCGTGTGTACTATGCGCACTTTGGCACCAGCGACAGACAGCTCCTGATTATCGTTGAGCTGCTGCACAGGTATGTGAGCGGGTATTTCCTTGCAGGAATCATCGCTCGAGTCCTCCAGACTGCGCGGAAACTTGTAAACCTGACAATCTGCATTGATGGGCACTACAGTTAATAAAAACGCACAAGGACACACACATTTAAATAAAATAGCATCAACTATGCAGGTGTTTCGAACCTTTGTCCGCCAGTTGCTTGTTGCCCACAATGTCCTTGACCCCGCCCACATGATCGTGGTGCCAGTGCGTGAGGATAATTTTGCTGATTGTTGCCTGCTCCTCCCGCAGCACACCCTTTAAATGATCTATATACTGCGGTACATCTTCATCACCGGTGTCAATAAGAATTCGTCTGAGAAAAGAACAAAATTGAACTTTGGATCGGACAGAAAATTCAAATCGCACTTTTTGCCATTGCCCAGCAAATAGGTGTTGGTTCCTTGCAGCGTCATCGGGCTGGGATTGCAGCCGAGAATGCGTATTATGGAGGCGCTAAGGCGTGTTACCGGCGGTATTAGTGCCATTATATTGTACAATTTAGTAAAAGCCGTTGACTCTTAAGCACGTAAATAAACCAAGTGCAAACGTTATCGTCGATCAGCTGATCCGCAATAGTGATGCAACAATTGACTGAATTTACTATCGATACTTGAAGCCAAGTCATTCTGAGCCATCAATTGCACCACTTCGTGCTTATGCTCATTTGTTATCGATATGTGCGCCAATTATTGATTTCAAAATAAATTTCAAATATTAATTTAATATGCCTTGTGTGAGAGGCCTTTGCCTTTTATAAGGTTTATAAGATAAACACTATTGATTTCGATTTGTTTTTATTATTTTTCGTAAGTTTTCTTTATTTTTGTTTTGTTTGCTGTTCTTTTGACTAGGATGCAGATGCTGTATACATACTATACATGTATATATATAGATAACTATTTTTTGTTTTTTTTTTTTTTGTTGCTTTTCTTCATTTTGATGCGTTTACAAATTACAAAAATTATGAACTTAAAAAGAGTTCAACTATGTTTTTTGCTTGTTAATATCTTTGTTTAAATTTTTCAATAGAGATATATATAGATATATGGCCAAAACAAGGACAGAGGGATAGAGATAGAGAGAAAAGCAAATTGTGCCTGCATACAAGATAAGATTTAAAAAAATAAAATAAAATAAACATATACAAAATACGAAAGTAAAAGTTAGTTGAAAATGCATTTCGAGTTACTAATTTACATAAGAATAAGTAATACATAAATCGAGATATAGTTGAGAGTTGAATAATTGAGTGTTGCATTCTTTAATAATAATATATTATGCATATATATTTAAGCTAAAAATTAAGGTTTTCGTTTCGTTTCGCTTTTATAAAATATTGCATTACTTTTTGGATTCCTTTTTTTTAGATTTAAATTTAGCTTTTGTTATGTATTAATGGCCACGCGTGTTTTGTTTTGTTTTGTCTTTTGTGTGTTTGTTTTGTTCTGTTTTTCTTTTTGCGAAAAACCAAAAAAATGTTTTTTGTTGAACACATTTTTTGACCTGGCTAATTACTAATATTATTTCATTTCCTTCATTTTCATTTAGCTGCGTTCCTTAATATTGTATATATATAAAAATAAAAAAGATACGATCCTATATATACTTGCTATATATATATATGTATATCAAATTGTGGAAGAGAACATAAAAGCAGAGGAAGAACCAAATACATGAAAGTAAAACAACCCAATGAATGGAGCGAGAAAAGCTTGACTAAACTATTGGAACGATTCTCACAATATGCACTTGATAATGATGGATGATTCCAATTTCTTTTCGATTTTCCTTGTTGGATAGGGGTGGGGGGAGGGAGGGGGCTGGTTTTCAACTATATATGTAAATATCTATATAAAAATGTATATACTATATATAATTGTATATATATAAACTGACTGTTGGGCGTATCGGTCATCATCTTAGCTGATCATCTCGCGGTATTTCAATTTGTGCTTCGATAACATATCGGTGACAGTCACCAGCTTTTTGATCGATATTATATGCGATAGCTCCTGCAATTCCGGCAAATACGAAACGCAAATGTGATGCAATGTGGCTAATTCGCGGCCTGTGAAACAAAATAACAGCATATAGCTATCGATAAGTATCGATAAGTGCGTATCTGGCTTACCCGTATCCTGTGCATTGTGATTGGTATTCTGCTCGCCAAACATAGCTGACGGCGGATTCGGATCGGTGACTAGCGACAACTGATCCAAGAACACAATCATTCGCTCTTTATTCTTGAGTATAAACGGATTCACCACCTCCATATATTGTTCCTGGAAGAGCATAGAAATCGATTAGCCGATACGCCTCTCAAGATTGTCAACCCATTGGACCTACCTTGCCGCCAAACTCAATTAGATTTGCGAGATTCTGCAAGCATTTGGCCACCATGATCAGGGATCGGGTTGCCGCCGTCGGCGGCGTCTCGCTGACCAAGCCGAATTGCCGTGGATTGAGCAGCGAGGGACAGAGCAGACGCAGGAATATAAAACCGGATACGACGCGCGTGCGCACCAAGCGCTCCGTCGGCCACTTGGCCACGACCGCCTTCTGCAGGCAATTGCAGATGTAGCGCACGTTGCGCGGACAAGCGTCCGGCGACGTGAATATTGACTGGGTGACCAGGTCGAGTATCTGCAAGAGGAATTCGGCGTTGGTGCACGCGTCGTCGTTGACATCCATTTTGGTTGGATTCAGCTCGGCCGACTGCTTGCTCTCGAGGATGCGCTGCACCGTCTCGCTGACGGCCGACTGCAGGAAGCCGCTGCACTCGGTGCGCATGTACAAGTCCATGAGGGTCGTCGCCAGCGATGCACCACGGAACAGGGTCGTTGTCTCGTTCTCCCGGGCCACTTCCGCCTGGCAGAGGATGCGTATCAATTCCGTTTCGCGCTTCTCGTGCCGGAACACACGCAACAGCGCCGTGGCCAATGGCACGCGATCGTTGTGACAGAGCTCGGCCAGCGCCTTCACAGCATACAGCTCTGGCTCGAGCAGGAGCTGCTGCAGCGGACTGTACTCCTCGCACGGCATTATCAGATCGTCCAGATAGCGCATGCGCAAGCGCAGCGAGCCCCACTCGCCCATCGGCGTCATGCCCGTCAGCTTGTACCAGTCCTCGGTCTCCTGGCCGTTCTTCAGGCTGGCCAAGTCGATCGTTAGCTCGGCCACCTCCGAGTCCTTGCCACGTTTGCCGCGCGAGACGACGGTAATTGTCAGGGAGACAACGTCTGGCGGCACATCGCTAAGAGTATGAAATGAAATGGAATAGAACAATGTAAATATTATGAATACGGGATATGTAATATCTATTTCAGTAAGACTGAGAGAGGTGCAATAACGGAACGGTGAAATTGAAACAAAAGTATAAGGGAAATCCCATGCAGAGGTGCAAAGCGAAACACTTACTCAAGCACAAACTCCTCCTCCCAGACGGGCTCGGGCGCTATCTTGACCCTGGTCTTGCCCACCTTGACCTGATTCAGGGAAATACTGCAATAGGGATGTGGCACGAGTTTGAATGGCAATCGATGCGCCTCCAGCACATGCAAGTTGAGGCAACGCAGCTCACGCAGACGCGACACCTTCTTCTGGGCGCGACTCAGCTGCGAGTCGCACTGGGCCTTCAGAGCATTGATCCATTCCACATAGCTCTCCTGGCTGGGGGCGCACAGATAGGTGACGGTGGCCAGGCAGGGCAGGGCTCGCTCCACGATCTGGAAGCAGTAGGGTCGCTCCCAGAGCGAGTCATGGCACTGATATAGATAGGCGCACGATAAATCGATGAGGCCTTTTGGTTTAGTCTTTTTTGGATTGTCATAGAAGCAGAGCTGCGTCTCGGTGCCGTCGTTGATCAGCGCAAAGTACAGCTGCTTCCACTTGGTCGTCTTGTCCGACTTCTTGTTGAGATGCCCGTGATGTCTGATGCCCTTGATCTTCTTCAGCCCAATCTGATCGCGACACTCACGCAGCGTGGCATAGAT